AGCTGCCCGCAGCCTGGACATGCCCACAGCCAGGAGCTGCCCGCAGCCTGGACATGCCCACAGCCAGGAGCTGCCCGCAGCCTGGACATGCCCACAGCCAGGAGCTGCCCGCAGCCTGGACATGCCCACAGCCAGGAGCTGCCCGCAGCCTGGACATGCCCACAGCCAGGAGCTGCCCGCAGCCTGGACATGCCCACAGCCAGGAGCTGCCCGCAGCCTGGACATGCCCACAGCCAGGAGCTGCCCGCAGCCTGGACATGCCCACAGCCAGGAGCTGCCCGCAGCCTGGACATGCCCACAGCCAGGAGCTGCCCGCAGCCTGGACATGCCCACAGCCAGGAGCTGCCCGCAGCCTGGACATGCCCACAGCCAGGAGCTGCCCGCAGCCTGGACATGCCCACAGCCAGGAGCTGCCCGCAGCCTGGACATGCCCACAGCCAGGAGCTGCCCGCAGCCTGGACATGCCCACAGCCAGGAGCTGCCCGCAGCCTGGACATGCCCACAGCCAGGAGCTGCCCGCAGCCTGGACATGCCCACAGCCAGGAGCTGCCCGCAGCCTGGACATGCCCACAGCCAGGAGCTGCCCGCAGCCTGGACATGCCCACAGCCAGGAGCTGCCCGCAGCCTGGACATGCCCACAGCCAGGAGCTGCCCGCAGCCTGGACATGCCCACAGCCAGGAGCTGCCCGCAGCCTGGACATGCCCACAGCCAGGAGCTGCCCGCAGCCTGGACATGCCCACAGCCAGGAGCTGCCCGCAGCCTGGACATGCCCACAGCCAGGAGCTGCCCGCAGCCTGGACATGCCCACAGCCAGGAGCTGCCCGCAGCCTGGACATGCCCACAGCCAGGAGCTGCCCGCAGCCTGGACATGCCCACAGCCAGGAGCTGCCCGCAGCCTGGACATGCCCACAGCCAGGAGCTGCCCGCAGCCTGGACATGCCCACAGCCAGGAGCTGCCCGCAGCCTGGACATGCCCACAGCCAGGAGCTGCCCGCAGCCTGGACATGCCCACAGCCAGGAGCTGCCCGCAGCCTGGACATGCCCACAGCCAGGAGCTGCCCGCAGCCTGGACATGCCCACAGCCAGGAGCTGCCCGCAGCCTGGACATGCCCACAGCCAGGAGCTGCCCGCAGCCTGGACATGCCCACAGCCAGGAGCTGCCCGCAGCCTGGACATGCCCACAGCCAGGAGCTGCCCGCAGCCTGGACATGCCCACAGCCAGGAGCTGCCCGCAGCCTGGACATGCCCACAGCCAGGAGCTGCCCGCAGCCTGGACATGCCCACAGCCAGGAGCTGCCCGCAGCCTGGACATGCCCACAGCCAGGAGCTGCCCGCAGCCTGGACATGCCCACAGCCAGGAGCTGCCCGCAGCCTGGACATGCCCACAGCCAGGAGCTGCCCGCAGCCTGGACATGCCCACAGCCAGGAGCTGCCCGCAGCCTGGACATGCCCACAGCCAGGAGCTGCCCGCAGCCTGGACATGCCCACAGCCAGGAGCTGCCCGCAGCCTGGACATGCCCACAGCCAGGAGCTGCCCGCAGCCTGGACATGCCCACAGCCAGGAGCTGCCCGCAGCCTGGACATGCCCACAGCCAGGAGCTGCCCGCAGCCTGGACATGCCCACAGCCAGGAGCTGCCCGCAGCCTGGACATGCCCACAGCCAGGAGCTGCCCGCAGCCTGGACATGCCCACAGCCAGGAGCTGCCCGCAGCCTGGACATGCCCACAGCCAGGAGCTGCCCGCAGCCTGGACATGCCCACAGCCAGGAGCTGCCCGCAGCCTGGACATGCCCACAGCCAGGAGCTGCCCGCAGCCTGGACATGCCCACAGCCAGGATCTGCCCGCAGCCAGGACTGTGCCTGCAGCCAGGACCTGCCTGCAGCCACATCATGCCCACAGCCAGGAGCTGCCCGCAGCCAGGACTGTGCCTGCAGCCAGGACCTGCCTGCAGCCAGGACATGCCCACAGCCAGGAGCTGCCCGCAGCCAGGACGTGCCCACAGCCAGGAGCTGCCCGCAGCCTGGAGGCTCCAGGAGCCCAGCGGGAGAGGGCAGATTTCCGAGGCGAGAACCCACAGTCTCTAGTTTCCCTCCTCCATCTGCCTCCTTTCACTCTGCTCTTCAGAAACTGCAGTGTGAGTCCCACCCACACTCCCAGGAGGGGACGGGGACAAGGCCGCGTGGCCGGGTCAGGGGTCGTCTGCCCAGCACAGTGAGGCTCCTCGGGGTCAGGGGTCGTCTGCCCAGCACAGTGAGGCCGGGTCAGGGGTCGTCTGCCCAGCGCAGTGAGGCTCCTCGGGGTCAGGGGTCGTCTGTCCAGCGCAGTGAGGCCGGGTCAGGGGTCGTCTGCCCAGCGCCGTGAGGCTCCTCGGGGTCAGCAGCTCGGACAGTGAGGGCTGATGCGTTTCTAGTCAAACATCTGCTGACGGAGCAATTCACCTACGAACTCTAATCTGTCTTCCGACCGAACAGGTGAAGAGACGCTGCAGTTCGGACGCTTCGCCGGCACCTGCACTGAGTCTGCACACGTGCATCTTCTTTCAGCTACAACAGAGCCCCAAGCACAGCAAGAGGACGCCTGTCTCCCAGCCGACCGCCCGGGCGGCAGCGGGGAAGAGCATGGGGGCCGGTCTTGGCGTCTCTGTCCCCCCTTCTGAGCGAGATGCCCAGGAACTGTGAACAGTCAGCGAACAGCGGGACAGCTCTGCTCGGAGCCAGGCGGCCGGGAAGCCAGGCTGCTGGGTCCGGAGCAGGAATCGGGGGGTGAGCCGACCC